GACACCAGCCCCATGTCTTCTCGTATAAAAATCCCCATGTGCATTTTTCAGAGGGGACTGGGAAAACTAACTCTCAATGCACTTCCTAAAATGGAAAACTCTGCTATTTTCAGGAGATAATAGTGGTTCTGTGAGATAAACTAGATATATTTACCTGATTGTTCCTTTCTTGACAAATGTAGCTCTTCTTGTAATACAAGGGTTCTACCAGACCATTAAACCACATAGTTGTCTCAAACTTCCTTTAATTAAGGATTGCAGCATTGCTTGTTTTATTGCTTAAATTAAAGTTCTGCTCTCTGCAATTTGTTTTTATTCAGTTTCTTGAGCAAGCAGTTCTTTCTGTGAAAAGTCTGTGGGGAGAAAAAAGGGTGAGCAAGAGTTCATCTACTTTCAATTAAAGGAATTAAGTGTGACTTTAAACAAGAAACCTCTGAGAATTTTTTCCTCATTCCTGATTCAGCTTTTATGAGGAGAAGCACAAACCAGAATTACTGGCCATAAGTACAACAAGAACAAGAAGCTTGGATGATAAATAGGGAATGGATGTCGAAGCACAGCTGGTATCTTCTTTGAGTTCACATTGCTCTCTCAATACTTGCTGTGAAAGACAGACAAGCATCTGGTGTCTATGGTGCTGCCCATATGACAAACTGTCTATCTGTTCGATGTACCTACTGATAATCTGGACTGATTAGTTTGGAGTCCACAGAGATCTCATGCTGTGAAATGTCTAACTTTTCCTTTGTTGTTTCAAATGTTGTTTGTCCTTCCTGTGGTTGCCAGGGATGTTCAAACTGTAAAAGACTTACTACTGGACCTGTGATGCAGAAGTACTTCTTGATGAGTTGAGTCAAAGGCATTTGTTCATGGGGTATATTGATAAATCAGTAATGCTTGTTCTGGATCACTGGCCTTCTGTAAATACCATTATGTTCACTGCAGCCTCAGTGGACTCAGTTTTCAGTGAACAGCAAGGGATGACTTAGTAAAACTAATCTTTTGCTACTGCAGTGAATAGAGATACTTTTGGAATTATTCCAACATGGCTTCTCTCCAAACAAAATCACATCTGGTAGAGGTGAAATTCCTGTGACAACTGCATTGAAGCAAAAGGTCTTTGACTTCCTCCACCTCATATTATATGAACAGCAGTCAGCCATGAGAAGCCACCAGTGACCAGTTTATGAAAGAAAAATGCTGAGGGAAGACAGACAGCAGAAGATGTCGTACTGGCTCTGGTTGGGATAAGTTAACGTTCCGCATAGCAACCCCTGTGATGCTGTGGTTTGGGTTTGCAATTAGACCAGAGTTGACAGTACCAACATTTTGTCTGTTACTGAGCAGTGCTTGCACAGGGTTGATGCTGTCTCTCTTGCTCTGCCCCCCCCTGCAGTGAGTAGGATGTGGGTGGGTAAGAAATTTGGTCCAACATCTGACCCAAACTGGCCATAAGGATATTTCCTTTGAGATGATGCCATGCTCAGCACAGAAAAATGAGGCATTTGTCTTCCAAAGTAGCTGTTGCTCTGAGACTGGCTCAGCATTGGTCTGCTTGTAGGAGGCAATGAATGAATGTTGTTGTATGACTTGTTTTTTTCTCTTCCCTCAGTTTTTGAGCTGTTGTTATCTCAAACTATGAGTGTTCTCGCTTTGACTCCTTTTCTGTCCCCTGTCCTGAGGATAGGTTGTGAGGAGAGCTTGTGTGACTGCTTAGCTGCTGGCCATGGTCAACCCACAACAACTGTCTATGTCTGTGATTCTCTTTATGCAGGTGTATCACGGAGTGCTTACCTTCCCTTCAGAGCCTAGGTACCTAGCTTTCAGCCAGGCCAACACAGGAGATCAAGCATGTCTGAGATAAACTCAGGCAAAATTTACTCATGCCAGTCTTCTGTCTCTAGCTATACCATATTATCAAGTCACTTTACCTGTGACTATAGAAATAGTGGTCTCTAGGATATACACTTAATGGGGGTAGTAAAAATTCTACACTGCCAAATTTCTTAGAGTGGAAGTGAAGCTACTGTCTTGGGCAGTGCTTGAAGATATTCAAAGCAGGGCTTGCTGCTGCTGTCCCCAGGCCTCATTTCTCCCATGCTGTTGCAACCTTAGATTTCTGTTCTTCTGTTGTTCCTTCAGTCTTGTCCTCTAATCCTGTTCATGTGAAATACAAACCACTATCAACAAGGTCATCAAAACTCAGACTGCTATTTGATAATAGTAAATAGTAAACATGAGGGTGAAAACATTTATTTTGGTGCAGTAGTATTTTTTTCTTAGCAATTTACATGTTTCTTTGTCAAGTGTTGCTGCAAGTTCATAAAATACACAGTGAGTGCATATCTCTCTCTCTTTTCCACCTCCTGAACTATTGTAAGTTAGCTGTCTAACACACCCTTCACATGAACATTATGTTACACTCACTATGTTAAGCAAAGTTTTTGAAAGATTTTTACTTCTCATACTGAGATTAGGTGTATCAAAGTGATGTGTGGTCATTCCAAGACTTCGGATCATAACAAAATCATGTCTCTCTTCAGTATCATCTGTTACCTCTATTTATAGCAGAAGGTAGCAGAAGGATAGCCATGATCATGAGTAGACTTGCAGTATGACTTTGCAGTCTGAGGAACTAAAATTAGTCAAAGCCCTGAAGGAGAAGAGCTGCCTCTAATGAAAGATCAGATGCTGGAGGGAAGGGTGCTACTGGTAGGCTGCAGATTCAGCGGGGAAAAGCTATGCTCCTTTGATAAAACAATTTACCGTTGTGCAAAGGAGGTTCAGTCAATAACTGAAATACTCTAATTAAAGTCAACAGAGAAAAAGGGGGATTGTTGATTATAGACCCTGAAGCAAGTTAAAGTGCTTAAGTATTAAACAGAAAAGTACTATATCCAGTTGTCCACTCTGTTTAACAAAAATTATTTTACATGCATTTGTGAACCATATATAAAATCACAATCAGAAAATACTAACCAAGTGCAATACTAACCAATTGCTGGGACAGCGATAGAAAGGCATGCTCAAACTCCCCAAGTTTCAAAATGTGTAGTTGTCCAACACAAGGATTGCACATACAGATTTGTACAACACTCTGAATCGTTGGCCTAGTGACCAAACAACAGCAGATCAGTACAGCTTCAAAGCAGCTGCATCCATGGGAAGTGGGGGAGATACTATTTTTCTAAAAACAGGAAAACTGGAAGAGAGGGTTTTGTGGAGCCAGAGCTAAACTCAGGGGTTTGTAAGTTGCTATTTAGGTACAGTCCTCCTGCTGCTTTGTTTCTTTCTAAAATGTTTATAAGCCCATTTTTATTAACATTATTTGACTCCACATTTACATTGCCATTGTGGGCATGTTGCAAGAACAGGAGCCAGAGGCAACCATGATAGCCAAGAGACTGCGGTGCACATCATGTTGCTGCTCCTTGTGAACCTGAGAGGCTTGTGCACATGCTGCATTTGGATGCACAAGGGAGGTAATGTTACAGCTTTCAGACCTAAGCTTATAGCCTTGCCCTGGTTTATGCTGTATAGGTGTAGTGTCCCTCACTCATACTGGATCAGAGACACAGAGGTGTGCTGGGTTGGGTTTTGGCCAGGACATTACTGTGGTGTCACACTCAGCCTTGTGGTGTTCAGCTTATGTGTGTGATCTGCAGCTGCCAGCACTGAGTTATGTCTCAGTCCCTGAAGAACTGAGTTGCCGTACAAGGTGCAGGGAGGGTTGCAATAAGTGATGGGAAAGTGGTGTTGTCTAATGATTATGCTATGTGAAATACGTGAACATCTGGAACAGAGATGGGAACTCAGGATGCCTGTCCTCTAGGTGGATGGCATAGCAAATACGTATTTGCTATTCCAGCGAGTGCTGGAAGGTTTTGTGAAGAGTGGGATGACTGTAAGTGGAGAAAGACCAACCCCAGTCTATGCTGACATTTGGTGCATTTTTCATTCTGGGAGCTGGAATGTGTGGGTTCAAGTTTTCAGAGGTGGAAAAGGGAAGTGAGCCAAATTTTCACATGGGGAAGTGCTCTCATGCCTGAATAGTGACATGAAAGAACAGGCAAAATCCCCTTCTTTGGAGAGGTACTGCCTTTTGAACCAAGCCAGTTGCCTTTCCTTCTTGTAGAATCCAGCTCAAGAGGTGTGCATTAGGCATGCTGTGGCCATGTGTAAGGGCCCTGAGGGAAACGAACACGAGAATGCATAGTCTGAGGAGTGACAGCTGGATGGAGAAAAGCAAGGATTTGTTCAGCCCTGACCAGACCAGGGGACTCAGGGCATGGGGAGGCACAAAAAGTAGGGAGGTTTCTGCTGGTGAGGGTTGGGACCTCTGGAATAATCAGTAGGTTTTAAAACAAAGGAGCACACAGCTGTACGGCCTATCCTCCACCTTCCATCATGCTCTTTGATGATGGAGGAAATAATAGTAAAATACTTTCCAGATAGATAATTTTTTAATAAAGTTGTATGTCGTGTTTGCAAATTCTTTAATGAAAACCAATAGCAAAGGAAGCGATCTTCTTTCACTACAAACGCTGGCAGCAGGGGAACTTCTTGTTTATCTGCCTGTGAGAATGTGCATTTGCAATTGAGAAACAATAAAAACAAGAGTTTCAAGGACCACTTTGTGGTGTTTCACAGCTCACCTGCAGGCCAAGCACCATAGGCTGTCTTAGCAGCAGTTGAAAGGACTGGTCCTTTGGATAGCGAATCTATGCAGAACTGATCTGCCCTAGGCTTTATACTGGATGTGAATACCCTCTGGTGCATTTGGCCCTTGGTAACTTAGGTTGTGTGGAACTGAATTCAGATTCCAAAAGTCATGGGCCAATGTCTAAGACTTTGGTGTCTAACACTATAAGCTGTTGTCATAGTTCAGACCTGGCTCCCTGCCAAATGCCTGAAAGTCATGGCAGCAGCCCCCTTCCTCCCCTCCCCTCTTTCCTTAGGGCAAAGGGAAAAAAACTATAAAAAATTAAGAACCCAAAGTCAAGCTACGTATATAAAAATATATATATTTATGTATATTACATTTATATACAGTTAAGATGCTATGTACACAGTAAAAGGGAATCTAAACACCTTCCGAAGGGATAGGGAAAGGGGAAAAAGGGACAAAAGGGGACAAAAAGGGACACCGAACAGGTATACATAATCAAACTCAAGAACTATACTAATAACTAACAAAACAGATCTCACCACTTCCCTTAGAAAAGCTGGATTGGCAGACACGGCCAGCACTCCCTGAACCTCCACGTGACAGGACAGTGGACGCTGCAGGCCTCAGCCTTAGATACGCGAGACCAACGCAAGAATCCACTGTTCCCAAACGTCGCCAGAAGAGAAGAGCGAGGTCTCTAATCTCCAACTTATTTATACTCTGGTTTACGTAAAAATTGTATGGAATACTGGGTACGTGGCCACTTCCTTGGTTACAAACTGGCCACCAGGAAGGTCTAGACCAAAACCATCACATCTATGATCAGGTATCTATAGTTGCATGTGAAGTTTCATTCAGGGAATGAGGAACATTCCTTGCTGTAAAATGGAAAGCAAACACGTGTTTGAAGTTAGTCCTCTATATTCTCCCACATACATGATCCTTTTCATTGAACTCTTAATACAGTCAGTCAAAAATCTTAAACAAGAGACTAAATGTTTAAGAAACAAGCACTCAAATGACATAATAGCCTACAGAGAGATGTTTTGGCAGTATGCTGTGAAGCAGTATGAGTTTTGCTATAGTAGAAGTTCAGCAAAAGCCTAATTACATCTATACTGAGATTGGGTACCCAGTGGAAATTCTCCATGGGGACAAGGAGATTATATCCCTACTACTTTAGAAAGTGATTTGCTATAATCTGAAAATAACAATGTGAAAAGAGGGTCAGCAAAGAAAAGAGACACACTAGAAGAATCAATCAGTCTGATTAGACAGGGGAAGGAAGGAAAATTGGTACAACATGGCATAACGTGCAGATCCCTGCTTGCGTACTCATCAGATGGAGTATTGTCTTCAATTTTAGCATTAGTAAGACTATTTAGTTTTCACTGTAAAGCAATGATCATACTCCACAGTCACTACCAAGGGCTGCATTGACAAACATTGATAAAACATTATTAAATTATTAATTATTAAATTAATAAACTGAATCCTCCAGCAGGAGAAACTTTGTATTTTAGGCCCTGAAAAAAACCCCTTTGATATAGCAAACTTCAAAATATGGCTATGTTAGACATAGTGATGGTGTTTGAATAACTTCATCTGAAAGAACCAGACTAATTTCAGTCATTCAGTCATTCATTTTTTTTTAATTTGTGGCCACCTGCACAACTTGCTGTCTTTCAGTAGGTTGTCTTCATCTGGATCTTAGTGAATGAGTCATTTCTGCTTGATGCATTCATTTTGTATCTCATATCTTCTGAAAGGACATGTTTAATGGAAACACTGTATAGTACTTGAGTTCTGTTTGTTTTAAAAATGGAGCCCAAGCTACAAATTATATACTCCTGAAGATGAAAAAAATGAAGACTATAGTGGTGAATGGTGTCATGTGAAATCTAGAAATTTTGCACTGTCAAATGGGACTGTGCTGAATACAGGAAGCAATTTGAGGATACTTACCTATCCTTGTGTGATTAAACTGCTGTAAGTCTGGCTAAGAGAATGAGTAATGTTATTTCATGGCATGCTTGACACGTGTGTTGTGAGAATATGGATCAGAAATATCTTACATTCTACTATAGCAGCACTCATGTTGTTGCACTCAGGGTCCCAAGGGTGTTCAGAGAAGAGAATGTGAATAGCAATGCAGGAAGGCACTCAACACAATTAGGAAGTAAGAGATGGTACTGTACAAATACCTGGCTGTGTGGCCAGCTTCTCAACAACGGGCACTGACTTTTGAGCACTACTACAGCAACCTTAACAGGGTCTTGATTCTCAACATGTGCCAGATTAAGACCCAAGCCTTTTTATGGCACCTTGAATCAGAGACACTTAAAATACCAACCAAACTAGCCACCAGACCCTAGGGGACTGACGTTACATAGCCCATTTTGAAACTCTTTACTTCACCATTTTACTGCTATGTAGTTTCAGTCCTCAAATGGATTTTCTCTTAAAGACCTTGAATTAAATAAATCTAGAATGTATGTAGGCATCAATCTTTTTCTCTTTAGCATTCCTCTTGACCCTCACATTTTACCTCTAGGGCCTTTTCAGCTTTTGCATTCTTTAAAACTAGAGTCACATGAAAGATTTTAACACTCAAAGCAGTCCTCCATGCTCAGATTAACAGTAATGATGTGAACAAAATTTATATTCGTAAGATATATTGACAACCATTTACTAGTTTTTATTGTTCAGGAGACACTGAAGAAATCCTGAAATTTGACCCATCCAAAGAGTTTAAATATCAATCAGTAACATAACCTTTTGCAGCTGTTTATTTATCTGAGGATTATCAGTCATGATTTATGGATTGGTGAGGAGTAAGAAATCTGTGTAATTCTTTCTAACGGCATAAGATGCTGGAATGAGAAGAAGAGTTTAGAACCACTGTCACTTTTGCTGCACAGCATGGTTTTTATAGCATCACTTTGGAGTGATGCCAGAAGGACTTATTGTACAAACTATTTAATTTACCGTTGTGAATTCAGAGAGCAAAAACCCAAGCAACACAAAGTACTGGGATACAATGCAGACTGTATATCATCTTTTCAGGCACATTTTCATCAGGTCAGCTCTTTTCTTTTTGTCTGACTCTTCAAATCCTTTGTGTAGGACTCACAGCACTACATAAACATTAAACTCCTTAACTACTGGGAAATGGCCCAACATGCCTTATGGTAGCAATTTTCTTGGAAGCAACAGTTTCTTAAGGCAAAGCTGAAACTGCATTTGAAATACTTTTTCCTCTCCCAATGTCAGTCTTTATGAACAGTCCAAAATAAGCATAATTTTGTTCAATTATCCTTGATCTTTCCAATCACAGTAAGAACAATTCCTGGAAATATTTCAGGACTCACTAGCATGGAAGCTGCTCCTGAGTTTGCCTAGCTCTTACTGATTATTACTAACATGCAGGGTTTGTCAAGAAGTAACAGGATTTTATTTCTGTGGCTTTGCAAGTGTTTTGGTGAGAGCAGTAAGCCAAGAGAGAATTCCCACACACAGTATTCCTAATTCACACTTAATAACTGCTGTGAGAAAGGTTTCTAGAAAACTCTTAGTTTTATCACTCCTTGTGTAAGTTTCAGTCATGGAAAGATGATATCCAAAAACACCAGAAAACTTCACTATTGAAATATACTATCACAACTTAAATATCCAAGAACCGTAAGCAAATGGCAGCCAGATCCTTTGCAAGCCCCTTCCTCATCTACAGTATTACAAACAGTTATGCTCTCTAGAAGATGATCTTTTAAACTGTTTACACCACATGTTCACAGCCACTCTTAATGGGTTCCAAGTAATGTAGGAGAGTTATACTAAATTGGGACAAGCTGGATCTGTTCTTCTCAGCAGGAAATACTTCAGATAACAAAACTGGTAGAGTTATATATTCCACATACACATCTAAGCATGATGCAAAACACTGCATAATTAGCAATCTGTGTAACATTTGATACTACAAATGGCATTCTTGACTCCAGGCAGGCTCAGTTCTTGCAGAAGCCCCTCTCCGAGAGATGGCATGCATGGTTATGAGGCACTGTTTTGTGCTCTGGAAAAGCTATGCTTCAGCATCCCAGCCTTGAACCAGAGGGCTAACTGCAAAAACAGAGCACACATTCTCCTCTTAGTATTACTAACAATTGAACTTACCGTCTTTTCACTGACAGCAGATACTATCTATTCCTACATGGACATGTTGTGCCATCTTTTTTTGCCAGTGGCTTAACTGCTTCTTTTCAATCAGTTTCCTCTATCACTGATAAGATATCCTCTCTGATTTCTTGCGCTCCTCGGTGTCTTTCCTCCCTCTGTCTCACCCTTTCTTTCCCAGGGTCCGTTTTGTTGTCTTTCTCATCTCTGGATCTAGCACACAGAGTAGACAATTTTTCCAATGAGTAAGTATCAGGGAGTAAAACCAGGAGAACTACAATCTCTCCCTCAAATTGGACAGTGGAATAAGAAAACAAAATACTAGCAACCTACCTAATGTATTAGGAACCCTCCCTTGGCTTCAAGATGTTTTGCTCTCTTTGCTCCATTAGCATTGGAAATACAACACAAAAAACTTTCTTCTCATGCTAATTCCTGTTGGACTGAAGAAGGTGAATTTGAAAGTCAAATAGATAAGTGCCAATCATTTCCCTTTGAACTCCCAAAGTAGGCAAACAGCTGCAATGTGAAATTCTGTGAAAACTTTGGTGCATCTTATCTTCCCTTAAGAAAAACTCACTGTTTGAGTTAGAAATGATTGCATGAATAGCAGCATGTTTCTTATGTTTATGTAACACACTGAACTGTTTTTTCAGACTTCAACCTGCATACCACTGTTTTTGAGGAGCTGCAGCCTTTTTTATAAGAATCTCAGCTGACTGGTAAGGACTTCCCTCTTGGGAGTTTTTTTCTGCAGTTCCTTGAAATCCTGGAGGAGTGCCAATGGATCTGCTGACAACAAGCTGAAAAATACTTATCTAGATCACTGCTCTGCAGTTTTATAGCTTGTGTAGAAATAAAGATTCTGTTAAAAGGAAAATACAGCACCGATATTACATTATTGCAGTGGTGAGGCACTGGAACAGGTTGTCCGGAGGTGTGGGTGCTTCATCACTGAAACTGCTTAAGTCCAGGCTGGATGGGGCTTTGAGCAACCTCATCTAGTGTTCCTGCCTATGGCAGGGGGTTGCAACTAGATGATCTCTAAGGTCCCTTCCAATGCAAACCATTTTATGATTCTATGATTATTACACAGACTCAAGCTTCCTCTAACCCTCCAAGTGCTGTGTACTACTGATGGGCTACTTCAGATCCTCAGTGTGGAAATTTATGCTAAATTTGTTCTAACATGGTCCACCTCCAAGCAGTGCTCATCAACATCAACTCAGTGATGAGCTGTGAGGGCTGTACTTGCAGTTTCAGCTGAATTTGGGAATGTTTGCATTGTATTTCAAATGCATGATGTTTCAGATAATATGGGTGGATGATAGTCACCAGATATTCACGTTAGACATACAATTCAAATTATTTGGATTTAGATTATTTATCTTCTGAGAGCATCTTCTAAGCATGTGGAATACATCTCCTAAAAATACAGGTGTTCTGAAACATACCTTATTCCTGATCTAGAGCAGCCATCCAGGGTATGATCCACTGTTAGCAAACTAAAACCCAGTGTTTTTATGTTTTGGGTTTTGATTGAATTTTTTGTCGGTTTGGTGCTTTTTTTTGGTGTTACACAGAAAGGATGCAAGAAAGGTGGAAGAAAACCACAGAAATGCTCTTATGACACATATTTCAGAATTAGACAGTATCATTACACAAATGAGTATTACTCAGCTGTAGAGTTGCACCGGCCTTTGAATTCCTGAATGAGAATGAACACATATGTCACGCTGCTTTAAGATGCAAAACTATTACAGGCTCTTTGGTTATGCCAGTGGTGTGTATGCAGTCACACTGCTCTGCCAAACACTCAGGTAACAGCACAGACTCATTCCTGATGGGCAAGAACAGTGACAGATCCCTTCAGCTACATTTAACAAAGAAAGCATTGAAACTGTTTGTGGTACTACATGTAGTTCCATAAACGTGCAATATTATACTTCTTTTGGAGCTGACACGTTTCAGCAGATCTTGAGAAACTGTGTAAGCTACAAACCGGTTCATATTTAAGGTGTTCAGAATGTACAGCTGTAACTGCAGGTAATGAGTGTTCCTACAGTAGAAATGACTAAATAGAAATGAAAGAAAGCCCTACTGATAACTGAAGTTAAAGGGGAAATATATTGCTATGAAGTATTTCTTAGAAAGAGTTCTCTATTTTTACCTTGAAATATACATTTTTATTTCACAGTCTTTAATTAGCTTTATAGCCACTTTCTTGGAAATGAAATGTCAATCAAGTAAACGGTTCACATTTTCAGAACAAGCACTTACTGGGATGTGCTAAACCTGGCAATTTTGCTGTAATACTTTTCTTCTTCAGTCTGCATATTAAATTACCCTGTGCCACACAGCTTTCATTCTTCTTTCTCTTCAAACACAACTGATGTTTTTAAGTTGGATTTTTAGAAGTTCACATGCTCGAAGATATTCTCCTAAAAAAATTTTATCAGGTCACACAGCAACATGGAAATTGTGAAAATTGTAATAAAATTGTTGTCATCCTTGCAGAGTACCACCCTACTAAGTCAACAACCTCTCTGAAAATCGTTAAGGATGAAGGGACAAATGAAGCTCTTAGCCAAGCTAGAGCAATTCTGTTGACTTTAAAATCCACCCTGTGAGATTACTTTTTTGTAAAAGCTGCCTCAGAAAGTTAATGGAAATTAGGCTGGCAATCTATTCTAGATTTTCAAAAGGGACAATTTATCCTTTATCACTGGGCAAAAATGAATTTTCCAAAGTAATAATGAATTTCTGTTTCATCCATGCTTTGAAGTTTTGATACCATTCTAAAAGCTTTTTTCTCCTTTGAATCTTTTCTTGTAAGCTCATTTTTTTTTCTTTCTCTAGAACAGCAGGAAGCTCATTCCAGTTTTTAATAAAGATAAATGGAGCCCCCATGGTTTTTAATAATTGTAATGGAGCACTGTGGTACATTGATGAATTTCCGCAATCACCCGGTGTCATCACATCTTCTATAACAGGCAGAGATCCATATGAACAGGCTTCATAAATTCTGTAACATTCTGTATTTATTCCCACTGGGCACAATGTCAAATCACTTTGCAGCAACGCATCTTGATAGTTTTTGAAACTTTCATTTGTTTCTTGAGGCTGCCACCTAGGAAAGTAAAGAGGCTGAAAATTAATATTTTTCCCACTGGCACTGCAACAAGAAAATAAGTGATATGCTTTAATTTCAACTATGCATAAAGATGAAAATGCTGCCAATGTAGGAATTTTATATTACACACACAATCAATGGGCTTTTACTTTTGGTCTTAACTGCTCTTAAAAGAGTCTTCTAAAAATTTATTGAAAATGTCATTGTTAAATATAGATTGTAACCATGTTAGATGTGGTACTTTTAGGAAAATATTAATACACAGAAGTGTAAGAAACAAATTGAAATGCCATTTTAAATCTTCTGCATGACTCGGATGATGCATATGTCAATTTACTTCACAGCACAGTTTAGAAATAGATAAACAGGGAGACACTTGATGGACTTTTTAATGACTTTGTTTGGCCTCAAATACTTTACATGAGTAGAGGTTTGCTTTTCAAAAGTTAGGATATAAATCAGAATCCATCTCCTGAAGTGCCTCAGAATGTCTGTGAGATAAGAGTTTATGTCACAGATACAATCCATCTCCCGAGATTCTTTATCAGGGCAGCTGAGGTCTTCCTAAGCACTGCTGTGCCTGCTGTCAAACATTCTATAAGTGCTGCTTTTCAAAATTAAGAAATACAATCAGAACCCTACTCTTGTTAGTCAAAAGATCTGTTCCTCCTACTTGAAATAAAAAACAACCATGCTGTACAGATTAAATCACTCTCTTATATGGAACACAACAAAATAGGGTTGTCTTCTTTCTTCTGCTAAAGACATTAAACCACACAAAACACAAGACAAATATTTCTTCTCCCACCATAATCAAATGTATTCAAGAAAAAAACCAAGATGATCTTTGACGGTTGTATATGTAAGAAATTTTTCTATGCATTTAAAAATATGCTTTACGTAAAGTATAGCAACAGAAAGGCTGTTATGTTATGAAGACCTACACAAACAGAGTCTCAGCAGTGTTCTCTGATTTAATTGTGACTGATTACCTTTATTTGTTATATTTTTTAATGCTCAAGAAAAGATTAGTAATAATGAACCAGGCAAAAAAATCTGAATATTTTCATGAAATAAATTGAAAATCTTACTGTTCTCTGGGTGCAATCCAGCAAAGTTTGTCAAGCCCATCCTGCTTCAGAATTCCCATTAAGGTTTCTCTAGAAGAGTTCTTATAAACTGTTCCTAAGAAATTACATAGATATGATCTTGGATCACGTAGCATTGACCAGTTAGGTTCTACAACTGGAAAATTTCTGTAGCTGTAAAAACAATGTATAAATTAGACAACTATATGTTTTACACCAAAGGAAAAACATTTTGCACTATTTCATCTTTACTGCATCAGATTTTAAGACTAAAAGCACCTGTTTGTTGCCAATCCACATCTATAAACACAGACAGCAAACCACACACATGCAAAAGACTTCAAGTCCTGACCTAAAAGCAGGTCTTTATTCTCTTTGCCCCCACCACTCTCATCAGAGACTTTCCAAAATACTAATGTCTTTTTTCAATATCAGAAATACTATGCGTGCATGTTACAAAATGTCCTTGAGTAACATGCTTTTCCAAAGCAGCTGTTCTTGATGCAACCAAAAGTTTTGACTGAAATGGCCAGGTTAACTATGGTGTTTAAGTCTCAGCTACCTTAATCTCTGGGCATGCCTATCAACTGAAAATAACACTGCTAACCTCTCAAAGCAAAATCTCACTTTGATCTGAGTGGACTTCAATAATGTAATCTTTTGGCTACTAAAAAGCTTGTTGTACATTATTTGATGGAACAGTCCTTTCCTCATTCTTCTCCTGTGTGATGAATATTAATTCGCTTACTTTCTGAGAACCATTTTTTCCTTCATGATAAATATTTTCGCAGCATTCTACATCTTCATTTTCTCTCTTCACTTGGAAAATCTGGCACATGTTCACACCTTTAGCCACATGTTTTACACTTCTTGGTGTGCAAACCTCCATTTTGATACCATATTTATCTTTCTCCACCCAGCTTTGCACTCTAGTTTATTGTTGTAAATGTTATTTTCTGTTAACTGTCACCTTAATCTCTGCATCTCAAAATTCAACTTCTTTTTGCTTAGGAACTTCCAATGACAACAATTTTCTGACACTATCAAGAATCCAAATTTATCATATTTCAGAGACACTGTGAGTAAGTTCAAGCTATATATAAAAAACTCCATACAGTTTTCCAGATTGAGCCAACTGGATCAATACAGGAAATTGAATTCAAATTCAACACAAGATATGAAAATAATCCTGTACTCCTTTCATCTTATATTACCATGATAAGTAGTTAAACCACTCTGTTAATAAGAAGTAAGAGTGTACCTAACTGAACCGAGCCTTTATTTACTCCACATAAGTAGTTTGAGCAGATAAGTATAATAAAAATGTTTTGTAAGCATACAGTTAAGCCAGCTTATGCTGCTGTGATACTGGAGTATAACAACTCAAAATGGGGAGCACACAGTTGCCTTTTAAGAGCCATAATGAGGGTTAAAAAAAGTACCACCAGTATCATCTTTCCTTTCCTGAACAAGTAGTACCTGCAGATTAATTACATAAGTATCTTTTAAATCCCCCATGTCTCTGGTACATATGATATGATAAGTCTCAAGAGCAAATCTTCTAAAGAAAAAATAAAAAAAAAGCCTTTCAAGCTCCCTAAATGCTAACATTCTTTTCCTATTATAATTTTTATTTCTAAATGCAATTTCAAAAAATCCCAATGCTTGATTTATAAAATAATTCATAGGATCACGTTCTACAATTTACTTACTAAAAGTGTTTTGGGCATAAGCGGTAACACTCAGTCATATTTTCCATACCTCATGCACAACAATTGTTTCAATTGCAACTTCTGTCTACAGCACTTACGTAGCTACTCCCAAAGGCCACTGGAAAATATCTTCTTCATTTACAAACGCACAGTCATAGGTAACAAAGAGCAGATTTACAAATCCTCCGTTTCTTTTCAGGTATGGCTGAATCCACCCGTTGTTGCACTGCTCGTTCCCGAGCAGCACCACCGCCACGTGCCGGATTTTGTGTGTCTGAATCAGCGTTTGTGCGTAGTGCAGCCACTGGGTGGCGGACGCCACCTTCGCCGGTTCCCTCCCGTTCAGCACCAGCACGACATGCTCCGCTTCCACCGAGAAGTACCCGGGAACTACAGATGGGCCAGTGAGGAAGCTGACAAAACCAAAATGCAAACAGTAAACACCCCAAAGACAAATTATTGACCTTAATCCTCTAAACATCCTTACTACAGAGTCTGTAATTCTGAGACTATTTTTTCATAAATAAAGCAGTTGTAATATATTGCAAACTGTAACCACTTCTGACAGTATCTACTGCTTAACACAGGAGTAAGGTTGCCTTCATCTTTGCTGGGAAAAAGGAGATTTAGACTTAAATAAAGTATTTTGTCAATAAGTCAGAACTAGTACTATACTCAAACCTAAAAATGTGAGTAAATCAGTCACCTCTAAAAAAGTGGTGTACTTTGATGTTCACCAAAGGTCTTAATTCCAGTAATAACCAATGACTGCTGTACTAGAACAGGAGAAAGGCCCTCCCAAAAACCTGGTGAGTATACTAAACCAGGTATCATTAAGAGGGACAGTTAGCTGGCCTGGCATACTACTTTTCTCAGTAATTTTGGTTAAGTTTCTACTGAGCAGAATCAGTAACACAAGAGGTATCTCTCCAGATGTAAACTTAGGTTGGCTGTATATGCTAGTAAGCACAAACATTTTAGGTAGAAAATGGCATTTGTAGATCTTGCACAATGCATTTAACAGAGGAATTTCAGTCAGGTAGCAAAAGCATAAAATCTTTAATAATTTTAATAAGTTTTCTAGGTCTGCTGCACTACTAGTTTTTCAGCTACCAGCAAAATTTAAGTTATAATGAGCATGAGTTTTAACTCATGAAGTGCTGAGATTGACAGCCAGCTTCAGTTCAAGTATACTTAGTGAGTTAAAAAAAAATTCACAACAAAAGCCGGTGTGTACCAGTGAGGTTATCTGAAGTAGACTGACCTTAGACAAGCATATTTTAAACCTGAGTTAAGCTGACATGCTTCTGGCTTGGTGGGAGTGGCATACTTTGGAGCCAAGATTCATGAATTTCATGACTTGGAATCAAGATTTCTAATAGATTAAATGTAAGTCAGATCAAGACTTAAATCCAAAGTTTAACAGACAATGAGAACAGAATCACTGGGATTCCAAGAGAGAATACCCTGAGCTTCAGAATGCCTAAAATAGTGAATAGGATATGTAGATGGTCCAGTGATCACCTTGCAAAAAGAGACATAGGGGAAAAGGTTTCATCTGTGATACAGCACTTTGAAGGTATCAACTTTACAGGAACAGCAGGATGTACAGGTCAGGAAGTACTGACCTGTGTGCAGGAAAATATGAAGTTTAAATGCATAAAGTTACAGTGGGGAAAAAAAGAAACACTATGAAAGTCTCATAAATCCCATTCTTTAATAATAAAAACACAGTGCTAGGGTTGTACTATTAACTCCCAGTCAGAACACAACAGGGATTGGGAAAAGTGAGAGATTACAAAAGCTGCAAAATTAAGGCAGTAGTACTAACAGCAGTAACTACTCACATGAAGGCTAGATCAAAGATGGTATAGGGAGATTACATTTTTTTGGACTAAATACATGACTTGCTTTCTACAAAGTCCTTGCTAGTCATAGAATCAATACAAAAAGATAGTATTCTAGACTGCGTCTTCCAGACCCACTTCCAAAGGTGTTAGTCACACAGTCACTCCGTAACAGCAATATGATTAAGTTTAGCACTTGCAGCAGGAGAGATCCTGCCAAATAGTGTAGAGATACTCCATATGCAATAAAGGAATTACATACAAATGAGAAAATCAGGATAAGAACTTTGAAAGGAGCAGTCCAAATCACAAGAAGCTTTCAAGGAGTTTGTAGACTGTTCAAAAACACTCTATAAGAAGCCCAGCACTTTAATCCAAAAAGTAAACAACACAGACTTCTCAAAACCCATACAAATTAATAGAAAAGCAAGGAAGACTCCTACATGTTAACTCATTCTCTTCAGAAGGAAATACAGGTTTAAACACAGCAAGTATTTTTTATATATATATATATATATATAAAAACAGAGGATTTGGACCTGGGTGGCATTCACTTGAGAGTTTCGAAGGAACGTGAAATTGCAGAACTGCTGGCAAAGGTGTGCAGATGTCATTATGAAGAGACGCTATGCTTGGTAAGGGGTCTACCCTCCAATACAACACTCCCATCTACAGAAACAACTTGAAAGGACCCTGAAGGAGACCAGTCAGCATGAGTTCCCTCTCTGGAAGAGTCTGTAATAAATAGTAAGATCACTGCATCTTATCAAAAGGTAAGATCACTGATCAAATACCTGGATAAGCACTGCTGGAAATTAATTATCCTGTTTTACTAATCTGATGAAGATCTACGAGTGTGTCAATAAGAACACAGATAAAGAGAATCCAGTAGATGTAGTGCATTTGGATTTTCAAAAAGCTTCACTACAAGGTTTTATTAAAACTGAATTGCCACAAGGTATCCCTAGTGGAATCCTGTGACAGATAAAAACCTTTGCAGGTTGAATTTTTTGACCAATATGCTTTCATTCTGGCATGAATCAAGTTGGTTGCATATTGTGTACAGAGGATAGGAGAATGGTGAGTAATCACTGAACAACTGGGGTTAACAGGGACTGAGGCAAGGCAGCATTGAAGGTTTACAAAATAGAGGGTGTTAATCAGTGGAAGAGAAATTTAGGAATGCTCTTACTTAATAATAAGAGGCAAGTAGTTTGGCACTCCCTGCTCTACAACATCTTCCTAGATGACAGGAGAGAAGGATGTAAATTGCTCCAGGTCAAATAAAGTGCTAAATCCTGCTCTCTTGCCTCTTGTATGAACATGCCAACATGTCACTAAAATCCACAGCTATGCTGTTCCTTCTCCACTCATGTTTTTAAATAAACATCCCTGCATTTCATAGAGAAGTTGATGCTTTCAGTATTCTTTAGGCAGCTTCTTTAGTGAAAGCTTGAAGACAGCAAAATCTGTATTAAATACATTTATTCTCCATCATAAATATACAAAATTCACGCAACTATGTTCAAGTGATATTTTGGCATTGTGTCTTTAGACTTGATATGCTTTGAAAACATTTATGAGACCTCTATTTTTTAACAATCATTAGACTTACCACAAAAAAACTGCAGAGCAGCACATATTCTCCAAATGTGTCACCTCAGCTAGTTCCCTCTAGCCTCATCTAGTAATCAAATGGAGATAATTTACCTCAGCCAGGCAGTAAAGTCAACAATTCTAGAAAATCTTATAACCAGTGAGCAGCCAAAATCATGTACTAATTCTTCTTCACAACAAAAATATAAAACAGTATTTCCAATTTGAGTAAAAAGTAGAACTTCAACTATTTCATTTCAGAAGCCTAGTTGTTAACTAACAGTGACATTTGCATATTTTCTATACTTTGCACAACAAGTTCCTACTAGACTTTCAAAAGTTGACTTTTGTTATGTTGATACCAAACTTAATTGTATTTTATAGGATCTAGCATCCCATTAAAATAAGGACTCTACTATCCCTGGTCCATCTAAACATAACAAGAAGATATTTAAATGCAAGTATAGAAGTTTTTCTTTGAGACGTGCATATCCTAAGGAACTATGTGAGGTTATTAATAATTTGAAACAGGCACACCAGAAGGAAAATAAACATAATCAGTCAAGTGACAGAGCAATTAAGTGCAGCAAATTATTTTCATGTTATAAACATGGTTTGAAAAGCAAGGGCTTGAAAGAAATTCTCATGTGAATGTCAAGAAGATAACCTATCTGGCAGAATGTCATGGATTTCTGTGGATTTTAATTCTGGACTTCTGAGATTTTAATTCTGGGAACAACAAAGTCTCTTCCCATCAAGCCAGCACTACAGGCACTGGTCCTTATTCAAGAAAGCATTGTATTCTTTCTCTAAATTTGTAAATGGAAAGCTCTTTTGCTCTGTCAAGGAGACTACCAAGATGCAGTAGCCTCATTCATAGTTGATTCTCTAATATTGTAGGATCATCTTTTATTTGCAGACATGGAATACAGCTATTTTTTTTAAGAGTACATAATATCATCAATTTCCTGAGATGTAAGACAGACTCTTTAATAATTGCTATGGATAAATCAAGTCTATGTATCTTTCTAGAAAACAGCTTTACCCTCTTATGAATGTGATGCAGGCATTACTAAAAATAATCTATGGCCTGTATCATGTTCACCATTAGATACATTAATAAATAATTCAAAATGATAAAAACTTTTGTGATCACTTTAAAACCCCTTTCAATTCACTATCACATATTTACTTCAAATCCTAACTGCAAATTTCAACTAGGACCACATCTTATTAAGGAAAAAACATCCTTCTGAAACAAGACATTTTTCAGAAGTTACACTCGCTTATGTGTGTAATTTATGTATTAAGAGAAAACCTTTTTAATAGGTGGGTGCAAGTGACTTAATGTTGGAGGAGATCTAGTACTGCAGACTGGCTAACTGGCCAAATAGATAAAAAAATCCTTCAGTGTATCTTTTCAGAAAAACAAGACTTCTGAGAAAAGGTCTGTATGATTCACTGAATAATATGAAACATTTGACGTCAGTCTTAAAACATGCATGATCACAGGCTGAATGCCATTTTTAAAGCATACAGTGCTTTAAGTGTAATCTTTTTCTACATATAAAATTTGTTTTGCAAGTCAAATAGCTAACCAGATGCTAGTCCTCACAGAATGCCATTGTTATAAACAGAAACAAATTAAGGTTTTGATGCAATCCTATTTATGATCAAATGAGCCAAGTCCCTTTTCCCTGAATACAGAGAAACCAAACAGCAGAACTTCCTCTTGCCTCAAAATTCCATGCTTGTTTTTGTCACCTATGAGCCCCCAAACTCCAGTTCTTAAGACTTTTCTGAGGTTTGTATGTCCCCACCCCCCAGTGTGCCCTTCCTCTCAGCATTGGTAAGTCTTTCTCTATTTTTTTCAAATAGCACAAACCTTCATAAAACAGATGAAACTGCTCCCTGGTTTTCTATCTTTCAACAGTGACATGTTTGGGCTAGGATTAACTGGGTTAACCAAGTATGTGTTTCCATGAATAAACTATATGATTGAATGAATGAGAAGTTGTGTACATTTTCCATAGTTATCAAAACACAAAAAAATTAAAAGGACTTGCAGCTGATACTGAAATAACTACAACTTTGAGACAGGCAAAATAACACACCTGTGCATCTTATAATGTACTTTAACTTTCTAATGCATTATTTGTTAAATTTTACACAACTGAAATTAACATCATGAACAACACCTGAAATATGTTTTTCCGGCTTTTTGGCTCCCTTCTCTCCACTGTGCAGTCACATCAGCTGGCTCAAGGTGCCCTCCAAAAATATGTTGCCAAAGGTAAAGACCTACATAAATGAAGACATGACGGAGAATTTGAATGCGCAGATCTTGCCCAATCTAAACTCCTACCAAATAAAATAACTTCTGGGAAATGAAAAAGCATCACAATGTAAGAACTTGGGAAAGAAATGTCAGAGCTTCATATATAATGGGGACACTGCTTCTCAAATTCTGTATGACTTTGAATTAGTTCAGATTAATTTTTCCCGTACTGGGGCACTTTAAGATATTCTCTGGCTGACATAATATATGTAGATGAAGATATACCACTACTTCTGGTAGCATCTCTTTCCAGCACACATACCACTTAAAAATGAACAAATTTTAATCAACATTTTAAAGACAAGGATACTTCTTTTAAGCTTTTGTGAAACACAGAATTTTTTTTTATGATGAAATGTGCCACCAGCTAATTTACCATTGTATTCTATAATGCAAGTTTATCTGAAGCTGGACATTTGGCATTTTCAAAAAGCTAAACTGAGAAAAATTTTATGTCATCAGTAGTAATTAAAGAGCTTGAGAAGACTTGGTCTCCCAGTTTATGTAGAGAGTAAACTCAGTGTCTTCTACAACGGAAGAATTTCCAAGCTCATCACTGGCAGCAGTACTGCAGCACAGAAAATGGTTTATTTCTCATTGTGTGATGCTTTATTTCACGAAGTGTAAAATGTGACAAAAATAAATAGTCTCGTTTAACAAAATAAGAGGCCTGTTCCTCTGTTGTACTGTAAACTAGACTGGATTTAAAAAGTACCTGTGTTTCCCTACTGTTTGAGACATTTTCTTTGCCAGATGCAAAAAACAGCCTTGAAAAGAACTGATACAAAGAAACTGAAGCGTAACTACTCATACATTGGTACAAATTTGAGTTAACAGCTACCACTTCCTTAGCACTCTTCATGTACAGACATACATACTGTTGAATCATATACACGAATTTTAGTCGTTAAAAAGCAGGGGAAAATCCTATATCAGAAAGGTTATGTGATTAATAGACATTGGTTACATCTGCTTACCAATTGCTGCTTTTCCCCAAATCTGTACTCTAAGACTGGTCTGTTCTAGGTGAGATCTCGCATATTTTATCATCTTAAGATAAGCTTCGTATCTCTGCTGAGAAGCAGCCAGCTCGTTTTTCTCGTCCTCTTCCCATGGATTCCATTCGTTTCCCAAGGCAACATGATCTGTAAAACCTAAAAGCGTAATTTACGTAAAACGGTCATCTTCACGGGCTTAGAAAAACTGACTAATTTTCTGGAATCCGTAATTCCAAGCATCAGCTGACCACCCTCCCACAGCCCGGGCCGGGCACGCCACCGCCACCACCACCGCCTCCTCCTCCTCCTCCTCCTCCTCCTCCTCTGCCGCCGGGCCGTGCCCCGGTGCCTCCCGCGGCGCTGGGGAAATGGCCGCGGCCTGCGCGGGCCCAGCAGGGAGCGGAGGGGCTCCGGCCCCAGCCCTACTCTCCCTCAAGAGCTGCCTCTGGGCCCGGCCCGCCGCCCCGGCCCCTGCAGCGGCGCCGCCGGGCGCGGCCAGGCCAAGCTGGGCCGGGCGGCCCGAAGCGGCCCCGCTCACCTCGCTGGCCGCGGCGGTCCCGGTGCGGAGGGCGAGGGGCGGCCGAGCGGCGCGGCCGCAGGAACACGGTGTAGGCCGCGTAGAGGGAGAAGAGCGCGTACGCGAGGATCAGGGCGGAGCAGAGCCGCCGGCGAGCGCCCCGCATCCCGCCCGGCCCGGGCGGACGGCCCGGCGGGGGCAGCCGGGAGGCGGCGGCGGCGGCGGCGAGGAGCCTCCGCCCGCGGCCCTGGGCTGCGCTCCCTGCCGAGGAGGGTCAGAGCCGCCGATGCCATACCCTGCCCTGCCCTGCCCTGCCCAACAGCACCCACAGCGCTGCCGGCACGGCCGTGTGATAAGGTGTAACCAGGTTGTAAACGGACAGGTGAACAGCACGGTCAAGTCATGGGAATATTGTATAATGGGGGGAGCTGTGGACCGATCAAACTGAGTCGTGTGCCATAGTAAGAGAGAGTTGAAGCCCTTTTTAGGCTATCCACGAGTCCTTGTTAAGGGTAGGTGTTACAGCTTCTGCAAAGCCTCTGCCAGCCTGTTTGCAAACACCATGATCCTAATGGTAGCCTAAAGCACAGTGACTTTCACCTACCCGGAGCAGAGAGAGACAGAGAATGTAAAACAGTATAGATGATAATGCACTGCACAACCCTGCAGCCTGCTCTGGACCTAAGTGGTTTTATTCTTGATCTGTTTATTCCTTATGTACTTTAAAGTTTATTGTTCTGACCCTGACCTAAAATTTATTCAGTGGACATCTGCTTATTCTGAACTAGAATGTGACATAGGCTTCTGAAACAGGCTTACAGTCAACCTACTGCCAAATCCTTAATTTAATTGAATTACTTATCCACTCACTGAATTAAAAGTCTAGCCTGATGACCCCCAGTGGCAGCAATCACAAAATCACAGAATAGTTAGGGTTGGAAGGGACCTTCAAGATCATCTAATTCCAACCCCCCTCCCACGGACAGTGACTCATTCCACTAGATCAGGTTGCTCAAAGTGCCATCCAAACTGGCCTCAGCCATTTCCAAGAATGGGGTATCCACAATTTCTCTGGGCAACCTGTTCCAGTGTCTTATCACCTTAATCATAAAAAATTTCCTCCTTATGTCCAATGTTTTCCAATTTGAACATATTGCCCTGTGTCATGTCACTTGCCCAAGTAAAAGGTTTTTCTCTGTCTTTCTTTTAAGCCTTTATATATTAAACCCTACCCATCAAAACCATGTATATAATGCATATGACTCTTGTCAATACTACCGGTAACCTGTTGCAGAATCGCAGGTTAATACATTTGTTCCTGTTGGGCATCATTCCTCTTTGCTTTGGTTATATTAATTTATAATTTTATGGGAAAAGCTCACCACATAAATGCTTCCAAAATGAAGAGTGAACTTCTCTCCTGCCTGTCTTACTGCATCTGTGTGAATGCACAGTGAAGTGGTAGTCCCAAACTTCAGGAAGATAAGCAACATGATGTCTGTAGTGGTCGATATTAAATTAAATCTTTTCAGCTTTGATTGCAGTCTGTTTTCTAGACTGTATCAGTAACTGGATCTGTGGGCTGAGTTGCTAAAATTCCTAGAAAACCTTTGTACAAATACTTTAATTTAAACCAGAATATGGCGATGAATGTGTGATAAACATAGAATGAATGGGAAAGAAGACACTAATAAAAATTAATTACAAAGGGCAAAGAAGAATGTAAAATGTTAAATCTTTTGGGAACACATGTCTTATTGCACAGCTTCACTACTTTGGATGATGATTAGAATGTTCTCTCTTCTCCCCACACAGACGCAGGAAATTTCTTATAAAAATGACAGAAGAAACTTGAAAAGAACAAGTCAAGAAGGATTAATCTGAGAAGAGTTTGCATTACTGACCGTTCCAAAAATAGTGTCTTGGAAGTCTGCCCTGGAATGTGTACATTTCAATAAGAAATGAGAAAAGGAATGTGATTTGGAATAGTAGTGATGATTACTTTTTTGACCAGGTCTTTCACGATAGTGATGATACTTAGTAGTCTTATTTATAGCAGAGAAGAAAGGTATACCAACCAAAGTGAGGTAAGCAGGCACCACGAGTACTGCGTCCAGTTCCGGAACCCTCAGTTTAGGAAGGAGATTGAGGTGCTGGAGCTTTTCCAAAGAAGGGCAATGAGGCTGGTGAAGGGACTGGAGCAAAAGTTCTGTGAGGAGCGGCTGAAGGAGCTGGGGTTGTTTAGATTGGAGAAGGCTCAGGGGAGACCTTATTGCTCTCTACAACTGCCTGAAAGGAGGTTGTAACCAGGTGGGTATCAGTCTCTTCTCCCAGGCAACCAGCAGTAGGACAAGAAGGCACAGTCTTAAGCCTGAGGGAAGGTTTAGGTTAGATATTAAGAAGTTCTTTACAGAAAGAGTGATTGGGCATTGGAATGGGCTGCCCAGGGAGGTGGTGGAGTCACCATTCTTGGAGGTGTTTAAGAAGAAACTGGTTGTGGCACTTAGTGCCATGGTCTAGTTGACAAGGTGGTAGGTCAAAGGTTGGGCTTGATAATCTCAGAGGTCTTTCTCTACCCAGTTTATTCTGTGATCCTGTGATTCTGTAATATAAATCAAAGTCTTAGAACAACTGTAGTAGATGGCAATGTTTGATAATTTGGAAAGAAATCCAAATATAGAAATGCAAACATAAGAGAAGGAAGAGCATATGCTTCCTGAGCATAGCACCTTAATCTTACATTTCCTACCCTTATTAATTCATTGTATATTTTGCAAGTTGCATCAGCTCATTTATTTTCAGGATGAGCAAAGCTATACATAATGTAAAAAAGCATATTCTTTTTATGAAATTTTGTATTCTTTTCCAGCCAGTTCAGGACAGACTCAAATAAATGGTTTTCTCAGAAAGCAAACTCAAATAAAATAGAAACTTGTGGGAATTAAAAATATAATATTAAGAATGCATTAAGGGTCTGTGTGGGGGGTGTGGGGATGGACTTAACAGAACGCCTACATGAATTAAGATTTTAGAGTAGAAGCTTTGTCTAGAGATAAGAAGTTTTGTCTAGGGATTATAGGAGTAAAAATTACAGGAACATTAAACTGAAAGGACCACCTTAACCATGGTGTCCCCTGAAATCATGCAAAACTGTGTGGCAGATACCAAATTTAGGAAATGCCTGTATTTCATGCACAGCGTCTGCGGGGGCCTGCAAAGGCCTAGCAAGTACTACTTCTGAGAACTCTGTAAGAAACTTCCAATATGTGGTAGAAGACCAAAAGCCAAGTGTTATGTCACAAGAAAGGAGAAGAGATCAAGAGCATCAGTGATGTCTTGGTCCTCTGTCCAAATAAGATCACTGCATCTCTAGATGATATTAAGAAGCAGACATGTCCCACAGTGTCAAAGAAGGTGAAATGTCCAACAGCAGCAACTACTGAGAAAAAACTTGGAAAAATTCTGAACCCAGATCTGATAAATCAGGAGGCTTAGATTCTTTCTTAGCCCTGAGATAGCTTGCTGTATGGTCTTCTGGCAGATTATCCCATCTCGTGGGGCTCCAACTGACTCCTTGTAAAATGTACATAACTGAGCTACTGGGAGTGTTACAAACCTTAGTTGATACAAAATGGAAGTTTTCTTCAAATGAAAGGTACTCAATGAAGACAGGAAGAGTTCTAACAAAAAAGGAGAATCTATTTAATAACAAGAACTCTGAGAAGGAAAAAAACTTTACAAGTTCTTTACAGTATAAAGCATCATAAATTGGGAGACAGGGGAAGGATGTACCATCAGATTCAATAACTATTTAGAGATAGGAAAAAAAATTTAAAAAGAGAACACAGAAGTGTCAAGTACATTCAACAAATGTCTGTTCTGTTCAAGAGTTCATTACAACAAATGAAGATTAACCCAGAGTTTCAAAATTAAGACTCTGAGTGCAGCTGCAAGCCTAAATCAAAATACATTCTGCTGTACATCAGGTAATTTGAGTAAGCACCTGTGAAAGTAATCTTTTTTCTCTGTGAAAAGTATTTTTTTCAGTACATATTATGATAAAAACTATTTCCTGATACTTGTTTTTACTACTCATGACTGCCTTCAATAAATTATGCTTTGGTCTCTGTTACAACAAAATTCTGCAGCATTGCTTGTCTTATTTGGTCTCTACTCATTGACTGTTGGGTTAGAATTGACAGATGTCAGTGGGAAGTTCTGAAAAGCTGTATTGACCAACATGTGACAAAAGCAGACCTGAGCAAGGTTTTAGAGCAGCAGTTAGACATCCAACCAAAACATGGAATGAAGACAGTTATTGCCAGAATCCCAACAGAAAGGTGTTGAGGTTCAGTTGCTGCTCTATTGAACCCGTTTTCATTAATTAAGAATTTGCAGGGTTTTCTACTGCCACCTGCAGGTTGTTGTAGGCAGCTGCTCTTACAATTTTTCTGCAAAAGTCTGAATCTTCTCTTAAGGTTGCACCATAAAAGGGTGAATGAAAGGGAGAAGTCTGCAGAAAGAAATTAAAGATACGAAGCCAGAGACGCCTCTCTGCTGGCCGCAGATCGCAGTGACCATTCTTATGCTTTGGCAGAGATTCTGCTCTGGATAAGTCTCTTGTGATGAGAGAGGTAACAGTCTCTGGTGTTGGTTACTGCTTAATTAGTAGAAATATTCCATTCCGCTGGCTCTGGTTTGTATGAGTACACCCTGACATCATCCTTCAGGCAGAAGGCTCAGGTTAACTTCACTTTTACCTGAAACTAACTACAATGGCTGAACAGTGATGTCAGTGGAGTATTGCTTGAGGCAGTGATGGCAGCAGATGGTAAGGAACTTCTGATAGTGGGGAAAAATTAAGGGCAGTGAGCTCTTATTTTTTGGTACACCTGTATAAATAAGAGAGTGTCCACCTGTGGTCTACTAACTTCTTACTTTAGGTGAGGACAGTCTCTTCCGGAGGAAATAATGCACTGCAGGAGCATCAGAATAAAGTGATTTTTCAGCCTTATGAAATGACAACACCAACTGCCATACTTAGTTCTATGTCACTCTCACATTCAAGACACAGCTGTGTGAAGGTGTTTTTAGATAACAAAGGATTATCTTCCCATGTGGGATGTGTTACATTTAGAGTGTCTCTAGGCTTAAGTCTGTGGAGACAAAAGTATTCTATTCTATTCTATTCTATTCTATTCTA